GATCGATGCTGCCATCTGATCGGACGGCGCAGCGTTAACTGAATCTCAAACATTCCGCCCGCCATCAGCAATCTTGTTGATGATTCCTTACTCTTGATCCTTCATCTAGTTGATGGGTAATATGGCAAGTTTGGCACTTGGCCGAGTGAGTGTCGTGGTGGCCGTCTTGAGGGTAACCACCCTGGTGAGTCCATCCTTGCCGGGGTGCAAGGCCGTTACTCTGGCGAGTGGCCACTTGCACGGTGGAGAGCGTTCGTCGGTGAGCAGCACGATGGACCCCACCTTGATATTGTTGTTAGGATGATGCCACTTGGATATCGCCTGCTGGCGTTGCAGATAATGAGCCGACCATTGTGCCCAAAAATGTTGAACCCGCTGTTGGATGAGCTGCCATCGAGATAGGCGTGAGGTTGCTAGGTCAATCAGAGATGACTCGGGTATGGTAGTGAGTGGACCTCCAATGAGGAAATGACCTGGTGTGAGCGCTGAGACGTCTTCAAGGTCGTCACTCAACGGTTCTAAAGGCCGCGAGTTGAGAATGGCCTCGATTTGCGTAAGCAACGTTGTAAGTTCTTCCGTTGTGAGTAGAGTCTCCCCGATAGTCCGTCTCAGGTGAAACTTCACCGATTTCACCACCGCCTCCCACTTGCCCCCCATGTGTGGAGCGCCTGGTGGGTTGAACTTCCATCTGATGCAATCCTGCTGTAGAATTTGAGTGATTCGTTGATGTTCTTGGGAACTCTGGATGAACATTTTCATAAGCGCGGCGTCTGCTCCAATGGATGTTGTCCCGCAATCCGAATACATGGTCTGAGCAATTCCCCTTCTGGCTGAGAATCTTCGAAAGGCTGCTATAAATCCTTCTGATGAGTAGTCACTGACTACTTCGAGATGAATTGCGGAGGTGGAAAAGCAGACGAACACACAGATCCATCCCTTGTATGTCTTCGCACCTCGTCCTTTCCATGTTTTGATGGTGAGCGGTCCGGCATAGTCAACTCCTGTATGAGTAAACGGACGTGACGGCGTAACTCGAGAGAGAGGTAGTTGGCCCATCAGTTGATGAGCACGGATCCCCCTCTGCCGAGCACACACGACACACCGTAAAATATGAGACTTCACCGGAGCCCGTCCGCCGATGATCCAGTAATTTTGTCTGACATGAGCCAATGTCAGCTGTGTTCCTCCATGCAAGGTACGCAGATGGGCGTGTGCAATGATCAGGGTTGAAAACCGTGCGTGGCGAGGCAAAATCGCCTGATGTTTGTTGTCTTGAGATAGCGCTGATTGGTTGAGGCGGCCGCCAACTCGGATAATCCCTTTAGCGTCTATATACGCAGTCAACCGACTGAATGCGTGAGCAGTTGGTAGTCTCGAGTTGGCCGTGAGCATCTTGATCTCGTGCGTGAAGTATGCCGCTTGAGTAGCCTTAATCCAGAAGAATCTGGCCTCCTCCAAAGCTGAGTGCAAGTCCAGTGGCTTGCGTCGGCGCTTTCCCAGAAGCGATATGAATCTGAAACAAAGAGCTGTTATTTTCAATAACTTGTTGAGTGTTGAGTACCTATATATCAGGTCCCAGTGATAGTCCGGTTGAGATGCGGCCGCATGTAGCGCAATGCCAGGACGAGCCTCATGAGCGCTCAACTCGTCCGACAGCGTGGGTTGTGATGGCCAAGCTTCAGGGGTGAGTATACACGGTGGTCCCGTCCACCATAATGAGTGGCTTTGGAGTTGAGCAGTACTTAATCCTCGTGATGCGCAGTCGGCTGGGTTGGACGTACCTGGTACGTATTTCCAATGTGCGTTCGCAGTGAGCTCTTGGATCTGCGAAACTCGATTTCTCACGAAATCCTTCCAGCGTGATGCATGAGATTTGATCCACGTGAGTGTCACAACAGAGTCCGTCCACAGGTGAGTTGCTGTGACGTTCAACTTCAATGTGGCTTGAACGTATTGCATGAGTCTTGAGAGCAGCAGCGCTGCGGTGAGTTCAAGTCTCGGGATGGTGAGCCGCTTGAGTGGTGCTACCTTTGTTTTGGAGCACACCAATGAAATCGTGGTACCATTTGAGCCGTGGACGGTGATAAATACGACTGCAGCCATTGCCACTTGAGAAGCATCAGAAAAGCCGTGAAATTCCACTGTCGATGTACTCCATGTGTTATACTACCGAGGTATTGAGATCTTGCGCAAGCTCGTAAGTTCCTTTCTGATGATGAGCCACCGTGATGAGAGCTGGGATGGCAGTGGTTCATCCCATTGGAGCTTACGAAGCCAAAGCTCCTGCAAGAGCATCTTTGCCTTGATCACGACTGGTGATGCAAAGCCTAGTGGATCGAATATCTGAGCCACTTCAGACAAAACAAGGCGTTTGGTGAGATGATCGGTATGCGACGAGATCCTTGTTGCGAATGCGAATGAATCTTCTTGAGGAAGCCATCGTAATCCGAGTATCTTGGTTGCGCAATCGTCGAATGTAATTTGGGAGCCCTGGTCTTTCTCTGCTTGAACCGCAGTGAGCACGTCTGGATGAGTCGCGTGCCACTTGGCTAAGGGAAAACCGCCCGCCATGCACAAGTTCTTCAGCTGCAATGCAATTTTGATTAACTGTTGGACAGTGTCAGCGCCTCCAAAGCTGTCGTCGACGTATCGACCTTGAAGAATGGACGGCACTGCAAGGGGAAAATTATGGCCTTCGTCCTCCACCAG